GGGGGGGGGGGGGTTTATCCACCTGCTGTGACATGGTTTTTGCCAGCAAAGAATTCCAAGTGACTTCCAGCCTTTCTTGACTAAACATGATGTTGCCACAGCTGAAAATAGAAAAGGCAATGTTCCTCTCATTAACTACACTCAGGTTCCTTCTTGAAAAATAGGAGCTGGAAATGCTGTCAAGGCCCTGCAGAGTCATTCACCAGCTATAGCTATCAGTATTCTGGAAGTGCTCAGGTACCCGGCTGGACCTGGTATGCAAATATTGAAATAGATACCATCTGAATGCAAATACTTTTTATTCGAAGGCCAGAGGGAGGGAGGAAAGTGCAGTTATCAGTACCAGATTGGTCAAGTAGTTTCAGAGGCAGTGGTACATTCTCTGCTGCCCATTGCAACAGCCAAACAGTAGCTTAGGAAGGTGCTGCTATAATCTTGCAAGAATTCTATAATGACTTAATAAATTAAGCAAATGCTTTACTGTACAAGGAAGTTTTGCAGCTAAACAAATCATTGCCCAGGTACCATAGGCTTGTTATGCTACTGTTTGCCTCGGCCAGTCATGTGAAAGTAACCAAGTATCGTATGCAGGGGAACCACTGGTAAAGCAAGTAGGACGGAGATTAATGTGAGAATATGTGTTTGTTAGCAAAATAGGTTGGGGCATGTTGTGTATTTGTGCATTGCTAACGTGGGGCTCTTCAGTGCAGAGCTTTACCTGTTTACTTGATAATATAATGAGATTGTCCACAGTAGATCACCCCCTGCACCCCAGCTTCAAACCTGTGCCCTTAACTGCTGCACGTCCAACCCGTCTCTGGCTTCTCCACGCCTATGCCTTTAGAAAGATCTTCTGAGAGTGGTTTTAGTGATAATTTGCCTTCATGCTGCCTTCCTGGCACTCTGGCAGATATCTTACATGCTTCCTTTTGTAGGACTTGGAGCAAGAACTCTCTACACAACTGTTTTGCCAGCATCACTTTTCCCTTATTCAGTCACCATGGTTGCTATTAGCAGAGCATGCTAGCTTGCTGTTGCTTGTCCTCCTGCCAGTGCTTCCCTGTGCTGGCCCAGGGTTCAAAATTCTCTCCCAGCACCTTCACCACCTGCCCTGGCTGGCTCAGCAAGCTTCAAGGGCAGCCATGCTGCTGCAGATCAAGGTCCTGTGAAGTTCAGTTTCAGTTTCCTGACTCTGACCCCCTCTCTCTCCATTAGCCTTCTTCCTCTCCTCAGCTCCTGCCATGTTTCTGTCCCCTGCTCTTACTGCCCTCAGCACCCATATCCACCTCTGCCTGCTGTTTTCACCCTTCCAGGGTGAGCACCTTTCTGCAAGTTTTCCCTCTCCCTTCTCCTGCAACACCAGCTCACCATGAACTTAATCATCCACCACGTCATTGCACAGCATGAGGCTGCATTTTTGTTTGCAGCCGTTCCCTGCTGCCCATTCTTGTAAATCTCTTTGATAATCCTGCAGGGACATTCCCCATACTTCCTTATATTGCACACAAAGAGTTGAACTCCCCATTTCCTTCCACACCCTCCTCTTCCTCCTCACACTCCAGCTCCCTGCGGGTCCCCCTTGCCCCACCCACAACCCAGGGGCCACCTTCAGTCCCTGCTCTCCAGCCTTTCAGCATCAGCCCTGGAATTCGCAAGAACATTATGATGATGACAGATAAAATGCAGGCTGCCAGGGCGGAAATGGCGCAGAACGGACCCCAGGGCCTGATTTTCACACGGTAAATTTGGAACCCTTCTCTTCCATTCACTGTAGCTTTGGGAAGTGTCAAAAGCAAGGGCTAAAGGCAACCCTGCACCTAGGGACATGCCCGGAGAGGCTGCACCCTCCCACTGGCTCCAGTGCCAGTCTGACCTTTACAGTTGTGAGCAAAAACCTTTCACCACGCTCTGCTGCTCTCAGGTGATGGTGCAGCATGTTCCTCTCACGCAGCTTGGGCTGTGTAGGCTGTTTGATGCATAGGTGTGGGTGTCTCAGCTACCTCAGCAGGGAGAGGTGACATGGGCAGCCCCAGGAGCTGCCTGCCCATCTGCCTGCTGATGGGCTTGGACATTATGAGGGGCCACAGTCCTAACTTGGAGGCCTTAACTCTTGCTGTCCTCATCATTCTTCCGTCTTTTAATGTTACAAAGGGGCTCCCTATTGACTACTTAGCATTTTACACAACAAGAAGGACTATAGGGCCACACAGGGGCCAACAGACAGTGTTTACCAAGCATGTACCCTACATCCAGCTTGTGGACACATCTAACCTGCCTGCCCCAGCAGGACTTGATGCACCAGAAGGCAGAGGCCACCACGTCCCTTCATCTATCCCCAAAAGTGGCAGCCCCACTGCTGCTGTCTTTGCTACGCAGCTTCAGTTCAGATTTGTATGAGCAAGATGGTTGAGTGAGGAAAGGAAAAGATGGAACCAGCAACAAAACCTGAGGAAAGACACTGTGGAGAAGGACAAGTATAATTTGGACCTATTTTAATGGAAAATCTTCAGTGGTGGTGGACACTGGGCCAGGGAGGGGCCCAGCACAGATAATTTTTCTGCAGAAACTGAGATGTGGAAATAATTAAGCATCTGGTTGTTCCTAAAATAAAGAATTGCAGAAAGAATTGCAGAATGGAGTGCAGGGATGGCAGGGACAAAAGCCCTGGATGGAAGCCCACCCTCACTTCAGGGGGGTGGAGAATGGGATTTTCCAGCATTGCCATGCTTTCAGCAGCAGCAGCATTTTGCTGGAGAGTGAGAGATGCACAGGACCCTGGGGGACGAGGGAGCAGGAAAGTCCTGTCGCCTCACACCAGCCAGGACAGCACCAGCAAGTGCATGTCACAGTTCTGGCACCTCTCACCTCCATTCAGACAGCAATCTGAAGTGTTAAAATCAGTGCCAAAAGGCTCCCTTTAACCGCTGACACATTTATCAGGCCATAATGTAAGAAACTGAAGCCCACAGGGCTTGAAACAGAAGCTC